CTTTGTGGGGTCAGGTGGAATCTCAGTGTTGTTTTCATCTGCATCTCTCGAATGACCAGTGATGTTGAACATTTTTTCATATATTTATTTGCTCTTTTTACTTCTTTGTCTGAGACATGTCTGTTCATTTCAGATGCTCATTTTTGAATTGGGTCTTTGAATTTGGGGGGGTCTGATTTTTTTCAATTCTTTATATATTCTAGATAGTAGACCTTTGTCTGAGGTACAGTTGCTAAAAATTTCTTCCCATATTGTAAGTTGTCTCTTAGCTCTGTTTGTAGTTTCTCTTGCAGTGCAGAAGCTAAAAGAAAATAACTTCTAACCTAGACTGTTGTATCCGGCAAAATTATCTTTCAAAATCGATGGGGAAATTAGATACTTTCACGACAAAGAACATCTGAGAAATTTCATGAACACCAAACCAGCACTCCAAACAATTTTATGCAATATCCTAGAAAAAGACAATGAAGTTCACAACTCCATGAGGGCCAACAGAGAGAAGACACCACTCAAGGTAAGGCACTAAAGGGAAAGGGGGAAAAATAAGAAAAGAGCCAACAACAATAAAGCTGTATTTTTCTTTCAATAAACAAAGTATCATCTGACACATTGTTCTGTGGGATTGTTATAAAGATTATATAACCTAATGTATATGATATGTATAATGTTAGCCATACAGATGTTATTATTATTTGCAGAAATTCTCCAGATTCTAGTTTTCCAGAATACTGTCAATCCTACACAGATAACACAATGTATGATTCATCATATGTCAGAGCTATGATTTCAACTAGTTCTTCTAAAGATGTTTGTTAATTCTGCTTCGGTAAAACTATTATTAGATTAAATAATAGAAATCCTTCACACTATAAATAACTGTATTATAACAGAATTTTTGCAAGATCCAAATATACTACAAATTTTCTATTTCTTAGAGGATCCATATTAAGAATTAGCAACAGAGAAGATATACAAGGTGATATAAAATAATTTTTATATCTCTCTCTCTCCTCCCTCCCTCTCTCTCCCTCTTTCCCTCTCCTTGTCTTTCCCCCATCTTGTTTTGTGGTGCTAGGGATAAAACTCAGGGTCTTGCACATGCTAGGCAAGAGCTCTCCTACAGAGCCATACACCCAGCCCTTAATTTTCCTATTTATATAATTTATTCTTAGAGGTATTTATACCCTGACATAGTGTGAATGGCAGGAAGTTGTACTGGTCAGCAAAGAAAAGCCCAAGAATTTATGTCTAATAGGCAGTTAGATATGTCCAAAACTCAAGAAAAGCCATATAAAAGTCATAACCATCTAAACTATAAAGTGTTGGACACTGATGAGATTGCTTAGAACATCTGGAAGGAAAATAGAAAATGTCCCAAAATAGAAACCTGGGAAGCAGGAACATTTAAAGGGTGAAAAAAGACCAATAATCGTGGAGATGAAAAAAACCAGAAGAAAGTATTTTTAAGACGAAAGAAGCCAAAGAAAGAGAGGAAAGCTTCAAAAAAGTGTGTGTGATCACAGGGTCAAATGTTTCTGTGATATCATATACAGTAAAAACTGATTGGAGATAAGTGTCCCAGCAGAAGCTAGAATGGCTGTGGCTGGGCAGAGGTGACAGGAGAGGAGCAGCAGGAATGGAGGAACAAGAGAGGCCCCATACGACTGAAGAGTAGGGACTCTGATAGGATAGCCCAGGCCACCAGGAATGTTGTTGCTTACAGAATGGTTGTGATCATTGCAAGATTTGGCATGGTTTTGCATGACAGAAGGCAGCCCAGATCCTGACAGTAAAGAATAAATCACTATTTGAGATAACAGCTATCTAGAAGAGTTGATGTTTTACCACCTCTGACCCTTGACAATATCATTCCTGCTCCCAGTGATGGCTGCCATGCTGAATCTCCACCTGGTCTGTTTTCCAAAGGGAAACAAAAACATGAGCAATATGCATGGCTAAACATCATCCATTTCTGGTAGATAGTGTCCACACTTAAGAGTCTTCCCACAGTATCAAGTGTGTATTTAGAAACGAGGGCTCTGATGACTATTTGGTGAGATGGAGAACAGTTAATTCAATATGAGAAAGTGAATTTCTGGAAATATAAACCGAGCTTATCCTTTCAAAGGTTGGAAGAAACTTAACGTTGGTGAATACAGTGACTAAAAGGACAAAGCGACCCATAAAAAGGCACTGAGACAAATCATTGTTTAGAAGTTTTTTTTTCTTTTGCTCTAATCTGAATGGCTTTTCAAGCATTGACAACAGGACAATGTGAGAGAAAAATTTACTTATAGCTTAACTAAAATAAAAGGAGAGAAAATCATAATGACAGATGTCTTACTTATTTGTGCTTAAGTAAGCAACAAAGCAGCTGAATTTAGTTAGTTTTTGTTGTTGGTGCTGGGTATCAAACCAAGGGCCTTGCACATACTAGGCAAGTG